ACAAACACACTAAAAGACAACAGTTTCCTCCTAGAAAGAAACAACGCCACGATGGGAGTAGTCGAGGTCATTACAATGTACTKGTACATTCATCTGAATAACCAAAGTTACAAGAAGAAGCTCTCTCCTGAGGAGAGACGTCGTAGGGAYAGGAGAACCCCAAGGATTGCAATTAGAAGATATTCTGAATCCGCCTTCCTCCATTTGTTCCACTCAKGGGATGAACAAGCCCTGCTCAACTGCTGTGGTGTAGACCACAGGGTCTTCAGGGAGCTTGTGGATGTTTTTGCTCCAGTGTGGAACAAGTACACTGTCAACAACAACAATGAGATCGTGGAGGTTCCTCGTTACCCCAGTGGGAAGCCCAAGGGGAAGAAAAGGGAGGTTGATGCAGTCTGTGCCATTGGATTAGTGCTGTTTTGGTACAGGACACGTGGATCCGTAGCAAGGTCAATGGCAATGGCCTTTGGCTTAACATCCACAGTGATGTATAAGTGGCTCAAGTTTGCAAGGAGAGTACTGCTTGTTGCTCTCCACAAGCATCCAGAGGCCATGGTGAGTGTCCCAACAGAGGAAGAAGTCAATGCTTATGTTAATGCAATTGGAGCAAAGTATCCGCGGCTTGGAGAGCAACACGTTTGGGGTGCTGCAGATGGTCTCAAGAGTGCYATTGAAGCCTCTGAAGACTGGTTCAAACAGAGAGCCTTTTACAATGCTTGGAAGGAGAACACCTTTGTCAACAGTGTGTTTGTCTTTGGACCAGATKGTAGGGTACGGATCTCAGTCTTCAATTGTCCAGGAGCTTGGCATGACAGTGCCATTGCCGACCATGGCGTCTATGACAGGATTGAGCAGGTCTACAACCACTCCAATGGAAAKGTTGTGGTGGATTCTGCTTTTGCCTTGAAAGAAAGGGAGCATATCCTCATCAAAAGCTCACAGCATGACCCTGAACAAGAGGAGCTCCTCCTCATCAACAGGGACGCRACTTCCCTGAGACAGATGTCWGAGTGGGGGATGAGAATGATTCAAGGACAGTTTCCAAGAATCAAAGACCGGATGTTCTTGGAGGAGCATGGAGACCGGAAGATCATCATGAACTTGTTGATTAACTTGTACAACTACMAATGCAGCAATGTAGGACACAACCAGATCCTGTCGACCTTCATGAGGACCCCAGCAGCCACAGAGGCTGACGTGGGACAACCCTACAAGAAGAATGATCTTGCAAAGGGTTTCTTCAAAGTCGGACGTGAAATTTCCCCCCACGGAAACAATGTGTTTGGCGGATGAATCCGTTTGGCGGATGAATCCCATGGTTGATTCGTTGAGTCGGTTATCGAAGGAAAGAAAGATTAATCGAAATACGAAAGAAAGATTAACCGAATTAGCAACAACATTTGAAACTCAACTGTAATCAGTAGGAATTAGCAAAGCGAAGCAGCCACACACGCAACGACGCACTTACTGTTCAAACGCCACGTCTACCCTCATCGCCATGGTCGAAATACATTGGTTCGATTCGTTAGTAACCAGTGTTGAATTAGCAGTATTCAGCAGTATTCAATGAATGAAGTATGGGGGGGGGAGCAAGCAAGCTTTACAAGCAGCAATTTGCAGTTTTTGTGTATACTCCCCTCGAGCCTGCTGCCGCATTCCCTAACACACTCCAATGCAGCGATACATACCGATTTATACTGTAATGAATATCTGTTTCTTGTTATACCAAAACGAAGACAACTTTATGATACAGATCATGTGCAAGCCGATCCAGACTGCATGCATGCCGATCCGGGCTGCATGTCAACCGTTTTCACGGGAATAAGCACACGCAGAATTAGCAAGAAACGCTTTCTAGTCCCGCATTGGTATGCACAAAAACCTATACAAGGAAGGAATAAGTACAACCAGTACTATCATCTACCGCTGCAGCGCGTTATAGTGAAAGTTACAGTGAATACGGTTGATATAGTACTCTGTACTGATCAGTTCATTATTTTCATTTGGATCCTTTGAATTAGTGTTGAATAGTTAGTATTGCAGTTAGTGTTTGCGAGTATCGTTATTGCTTGTGGGGACAATGGCGTTAGTCCTTTTTGGCGTCCTTGTTTCGAGGGCGTTTGGCGCTGTCGACGAGATGGTAAGAAGCATCGTTGTCGTTCTTGTTGTCGTTCTTGTTGGCGTTCTGGGTGTTTTGCCATTCCTGAAAGCAAGCCATTGCCATACCAAGAGCTTCCTTCCACATCTGGTTGGTCTCTTTTGCAATTTGGCTTGCCTCCTTTGCAATCACAGCGCTTTCCTTTGCAATCACGGAGTTCTCCTTTGCAATCTTAGACTGCTCTATTGCTAACACACGATTTTCCTTGTCCCTTTCTTGCTGACTCTTCAAATACTCATTGAACACGGTTGCATCCGGAACTCTTGAATATGGCCTCTTAGTACTGGGAGTATTAGCACTAGTAGACGACTGTACTCTGGATGGCCTCACAACGGACGTGTCGACGCTTGATGCATCACCACCAGCAAGAGCAATGGGGGCTCTTCCTTCCTGCACTTCAGCGGATGGGATCTTCTCCAAACCCTCCACATCCTCACTCTCGACAAAGCCTTTCTTCATATCAAAGTCCTCCTCTCCAGTGCCAATATTTGCCTTCTTTCCAATCAAGTARTGGGCTCGCCTTGCAAGCATCRCGTACCTAGGCATGTTGGGGTTWCCGGTTGAGCTTTTCTTTCTTTTGATGGAACTGTACTTGTTCCTAATGGATTTCTTGCTCCTTTCATAGGGCCACTTTGCAGCATGCTTGGTGACAACAGTATTCCACTGTTCCGAGTCGATGGGGAGTACGTCCACTATCACCTCCATGAGGCTCTCTAGTTCCTCCTCAGAGTAGTTCACAGTACCAGTTCTACGACCATTGTTCCCATTTGCATGGGGGGCGTTGGCGTTTGGTTCTTCCATGTTAACAATAATAACACGGGGGATTGGATAACAATGAGCTCTCTCTTTGTTGCTGTCACCGACCTCCTCTTCTTCCTCTCTTCTTTCATGCATCAAAGAGAGGAAATAGAATATAGCGACGGCCGGCGGGAGGGACATTGGACATTATTTGTGAAGGCGCCGGTTTGTCATTGTTAAGAGAGGCGCCATGGTCCTCTAGAGCGGCGCCTCTTTCTTTGGTGTTACTACTACTAGTATTCTTGTTGTTTAGAACAACCGAGTCTTAATTTTTCTTGAGATCAGTCTTATTTTGGCGGGCCTAGTTTCTGTTGAGTCTTTCAACGGACTGAAAATTTTATTCGTGGGTTCCACTCTAAATCTAGAGATTTAGGACCGGTCAAACCGACCGGTCCTAAATGTGCTAAATCTAGAGTCAAAAACTCTAGATTCTGATGGACTGACAGACCAAAAATTTAGAGATCTAGAATAACGGGAATCACCCATTCTTGGTACAAAATGGACAGAGGGAAAGAAATGTTGCAGTTGCAGCATCAACTGCATCAAAAACTGTGATGGTTCATCTGATTACTACTACTAGTACTACTAGTAGTAGTACTATTACTATTCTTCTTCTTATTGCAGCATCACCACCACCACCAGTCGTGGAGGAGTCCTCCAATACTACTAGTACTAGTACTAGTAATTGTTGGTGAGAAGTGGTGGTGCAAGAAGTGCCACAGCAGCAGAAACAACCACCAGAACAAGCATGTCCTTGTCATTTGTCTTCTTATCCTCCTCCTTGCTTGTGGAAAAAGCAGCGCATGATTTCAACAAAAATGTTAACTTGTTTCTTTCTTGTCTTCGTTGTTGCTGCCAGGAATGCTGTGCTGGAGGATATTCTTGCCTGACCATTGGTCAAGAACAGGACAATTAGTAAGTCTTGTCATACCAGCCACCAGCAGAAGAACCACTCATATGTGTTACTACTACTAGTACAAGAAGTATAATCAGTAGTACTCTGCAGATGAATTAAAGGACCTGCAGTGACAAGGATGTTTGAGGGACGATAACACGACGAGAAAGACTGGGTATGTTCCTCCAACAGGTCCCATCTGGTACTAGTATGTACAACTACTAGTAGTAGTAGCTAGTGGATCGTTGTATTCCCCAATAGTACTATTACTAGTAGTAGCACTATTGCTGTTTTTGAGCAAGACAATTAGGGAAGATAGCAAAGACTGACACAGAACAGGATATTTTCATGAATACATCGCCTATGCCGACGCTTTTCTCCACAAGAGAGAAGCGCAATATATCTGAATGTAATTGATAGTGGCGTTCACGCCATGATGTCTTCGGCGGAATCTGGAGAAACTACTTTTGTACGTGTGAACTTTTCGACCCCCATTAGGCTTGGTTGCACACTGTGCATTATGTCCCCTCTCGCATATGGATTGTGGCCCTTCTCCTTTCCATTCTTTCCATTCCTGGTGTTGCATTTGATTTTTGTCACCAGATCCCGATTGTTTCGCTGAAACATTGGATGATGGAAACAGTCGGTTCCAGTGCCACTAGTCAACCGGATGAAGCCCCACCGGTGAAGTTTTCGGACGAAACTCCCATATTTGGACTGCTTAAAGTGCCTATCCAGAATTTCTGTGCAAAATTTAGTCGAGTCGACCACAACAAAAGATTTACCATCTGGAAGCCATTCATATGCATCGTGATTTGAGTAACCATCCGTCATCATTGCCTCCCAGAGTTGTTTTGGGAAGGGGTTGGGTTCTCGTTTCTTATCGGTTTTCCGTATCGCCGGCGACGGATTCATAACAGCACTAATGTGAGCGTTGTTCTCGTTGGTACCAATGACGTGGCTTTTGTCTTCGATCGAAATGTGGCTTTTGTCGGGTGCATGTTGGCTTTCTGCCAACGGTACTTGTTCATGGAATTGCTTCTGTCGAGAGTCCTGGATGGGGTCGAATTTTTCACCAAAACCCACTGGAAGCGCCTGAATTTGGGGATCTAAATTAGGTATCGTTGCTATCGGGTTTGGTGAAGTATTGTTATTTATTTGTACTTGTAGACCTGGGATTTGACCCCATGTGCAGGCACCAAGAATCGCAGCATTGCCGGTATTATGACTGTTGCTACTCCCACCGCCATTGCCGTTGCCTTGCCCAATGAGAGTGCCTAGCAACGTACCAAGTGGGTTCGCAAAAGCGTTTGCGTCTATCAAACCGGCATTACTAATGTTTTTCAGGATTTGCTGCTGCTGCTCTTGCAGGTGCTGCTGCTGCTCTTGCAGCTTTTGTAGCTCAATGAGGGATTGTTGTAGAATGGGGGCTGGCGTTTGCTGTTGAAGTTGCTGTTCCTGCTGTTGTTGCAGACAACGTATTTGCTGCTCTTGTGCTTGGTTTGTCTCTGAGGAAGACTCCGTTCTTTGGATTGTGTTGTTGCCAAGTGGAAAGCATTGTTGCTGTTGTTGCTGCTGGAACAAGTTGTCGAGAACTCCTATATTGTCTGCGCCATGTTGTAGTTGCGGTAAACCATCGAAAACTTGAAACTGAGATATCGGTTGCGGCTCCTGGATGCTTAATTTTCCTGTATTCTGCAATGGCTCCGGCTGTGGACCATTCCTATTGCTATTGCCGCTTCCCGATAGTGCACCGGTGAGAGAGATGTTCTGGTCGTAAGCAAGATGATACTGGGGTTTCTGGGGGTGAATCAGGCCGTTGTCGCTGCCCTGTCCAATGAGATTGCCTTCTTGAAGCTGATTTCCTTGGAGTTGTCGTATCCAATCTTCTTCACCAAAAGCGTCTCCTGGAAGATTACCTAGACGAGGGCATCAACGTAGATATGTGAGCATAAATTTGAGTGAACAGTCAATGAGATGGCGGATAGGATAGCCATCAATGACAACAACCAAATATCTACCACCATGGTTGTCATCGTGCACTTGATCAGCGGCTAACTTACTGGTGTTTGGACCATCGATGTTTTCAATCATATCGCCACACCGGGTGACATCGACCTCGACCGTGATATTGTCACCTGCATCGATCTCGACACCGACCTCCCGAAGATCTCTGCCAGTGACATTCATTTCATCGTTGTACATGGTTCCCAATAGGCCTTTCATCGTGAGGGGTGCACACAAGGAAATTACTTCTATTGGTTTTGGTTTTTAAATCTCCGAAGAATCGATTGCTGCTGTATCGTGCTTACTAAGTACGAAGTATCGTCCAACATGTCATGTTGTGCTCCGCGAAGTCTAACAGTCGTGATGGAAACAGAAATGACGACGACACAGATGTGTCACTTTGCAGTCACAAGCTGCTGATGACGAAAAAAATTTCCAGTCAGTACGTATGGTCCCAAGTACTGGCTCTTCTCCTATAATAGAAACACTAGTTCGTAGAGGATAATTCTCCGAGTTCATTTTTCGCAGCTGGATTTTCAAAGTAGTTCTACCGTACAGGTTGCTGCAGAAGAATGATTTTCTAAGTACTATTAAGGAAACAACGTCGGTGAAGTGGCTCTCGTTGAATTATTTAATGGTCCCCCTTTTTCTGATTTCGTTTCATTTGTTCGTATTGTTCTTCTTTTATGAGATCCTTAATAATTTAACTCTCTCGGTACTTTAAAAAATCGAATGCTGTATCCTATGGTACGGTACGTAGTCTTAATCTTATGTACCGGCAAGTACGTGTGCCCTCCGGAGAGCGCCCGATCGCGCGTTTTTTAATACCAACGCGCGAGTAATTGGGTGATTCCCGTTATTCTAGATCTCTAAATTTTTGGTCTGCCAGTCCATCAGAATTTAGAGTTTTTGACTCTAGATTCAGCACATTTAGGACCGCCCGCTTTCACCGGTTCTAAATCTCTAGATTTAGAGTGGAACCCACGAATAAAAATTTYGAGTCCGTTGAAAGACTCAACAGAAAGGCCCGCCAAAATAAGACCAACTTAGAGACTCCGTTGTTMTAAACAAAGAGAAAAAAATAACAAAAGAGGCGCCTCTCAAGACCATGGCGCCTCTGTTAACAATGACAAGAAAAAGGCGCCTAAACCATAGGACCATAAACAATGTCCCGACAATCAGTCTTTATAGTCACTATATTCTATTACTACCTCTCTTTGTTGCATCAACAAAGAGAGGAAGAAGAGGAGGAGGAGGCTCCTCCGATCCCTCGTGCCATTTTTACACTCAAGATGGAAGCAAACAACAATCCCAACGCCAACCAGATGGAAGCAAACAACAATCCCAACGCCAGTGRCAGCAATGGGCGTCGAACTGGTACTGTGAACTACTCAGATGTAGAGCTGGAGAGCCTCATGGAGTTGATAGTGGAGATACTCCCCATCGACTCGGAACAGTGGAATACTGTTGTCACCAAGCATGCCGTAGACTGGCCCTATGAGAGGACCAAGAAATCCATTAGGAACAAGTACAATGCCATCAAAAAAAAGAGGAGCTCAACAGGTAACCCCAACATGCCCAGGTACGTGAAGCTTGCAAGGAAGGCCCATTACTTGATAGGAAAGAAAGCGAATATTGGTACCGGCGAGGAGGACTTTGATATGAAGACAGGCTTCCCTGTTGATGATGCTGATGGGGGTTTGGAGAGGGTCCCCTCTGCTGAAGTGCAGCAAGGAAGAGCACCCATTCTCCAYGTTGGAGACGACGCGTCGACTGACTCCTCCATCGTGAAGCCTGCAAAAGTGCCATCCTCTACTCCTTCGAGTAAGAGATCTTACTCCAAAGTTCCCGATGCTACTGTATTCAACGAGTATTTGATAAACCAGCAAGCAAGGGACAAAGAAAATCGTGAGATGGCTTTAGAGCAGTCCAAGATTGCAAAGGAGGCAAGCCAAATTGCTAAGGAGACCAATCTGATGTGGAAGAACGCTCTTGCAATGGCAATGAATTGCTTCCAGCAATGGCAAAGCGCACAACAGCAGCTCCAGCAGTCCGCCGACAACGATGCTACAACTTACCAGTCCGCCGACAAACGCCCCCGCAAGGCCACAGGAGAAGAATCCCATGGTGAAAACAATTAGATATCATGCAACAGYGTCGGTTAGTTAGTTTAAGCACTAATTCAAATGAACTGTATTACACGGAATGAAAGCTACTAAATGAGCCTATCGACTGTATACAGCAGTCAGTATTCCTAGCAGCATTCCTGCTTGCTGTCGAAGTATGTGATCGTAGCGATAGTAGTGATTGTACTTATTCCTGTTCGGTATGGGTTTTTGTGCATACCAATGCGGGATTAGAATGAGATTTTGCTACTAAAGCACGTGGTGATTCCCACRAAAATGGTCCAAAACGGTTCGGATTGGCATGCACATACTTCATATCATACCCTCTTCTTCATTGTCGAATAAGAATGATCATATATTCATTACAGAATAAAATGAAATCTTCTGCAGCATTGCTCTCTCTCAACGGACGTTGGACAAGGTTCAMGCGAAAACCGATTCATCGACAGTACTGGATCAACAGCTCTTCCGTAGCAAGCTTCACTGACAAGCAGCAGGATGCAGTCATAAAGCAGTCATACTGTGCGGATAGCAACAAAGAATTCAACAGTGGTTAAGGAAACCAACGATTGGATCCAATCGACCATGGGAACTTTGGTAAGGGACTAGTTGGTTGCATGTGCTATGTTCTGCTGTGTGCGTTTATCGAATGGTGCGTCGATTGAATGGTTGCTGCTGTCTATTGTCAATTGCCGAGGACTATTGTCGATTGTCGAGGGGGACTATTTTGTCGACGCCAGCTAATTACATTTAATCTTTCTCTTCACTAAATACATTTAATTGTTATCGACCATGGGATTTACCCACGAAAGACTTCATTTCCCTGTGGGGATATGTCACGTCCGACAAGGAAAAAAMCCCTTGCAAGATCATTCTTCTTGTAGGGTTCTTCCGGATCAGTTGCTGCCGGCGTCCTCATGAAGGTTGATAGGATCTGGTTGTGTCCTACATTACTACACTGGTAGTTGTACAGGTTGATCAACAAGCTCATGATAATCTTCCGGTCTCCATGCTCCTCCAAGAACATCCTGTCTTTGATTCGTGGAAACTGTCCTTGAATCATTCTCATCCCCCACTCGGACATCTGTCTCAGGGAAGTTGCGTCCCTATTGATGAGTAGGAGATCTTCCTGTTCAGGGTCATGCTGTGAGCTTTTGATGAGGATATTGGCCCTTTCTTTCAATGCAAATGCTGAATCAACAACAACTTTTGCCCCATCACACCTGTGATGGACCTCCTCAATCCTGTCATAGACRCCATGGTYGGCAATGGCGCTGTCATGCCACGCGCCTGGACAGTTGAAGACTGCAATCCTGATCCTACCATCTKGTGCAAACACAAACACACTGTTGACAAAGGTGTTTTCTTTCCAGGCGTTGTAGAAGGCTCTCTGTTTGAACCAGTCTTCAGATGCTTCAATGGCGCTCTTGAGACCATCAGCAGCACCCCAGACCTTCTTTTCTCCAAGCCGGGGATACTTTTCTCCAATTGCCTTAACATAATCAACCACTTCTTCCTCAGTTGGGACACTCACCATGGCCTCTGGATGCTTGTGAAGGGCAAACAGCATCACTCTTCTTGAAAACTTGAGCCACTTATACATCACTGTGGATGTTAAGCCAAAGGCCATTGCCATCGACCTTGCAACAGATCCTCTTGTCCTGTACCAGTAGAGGACAAGCCCTATTGCACAGACTGCATCCACCTCCCTTTTCTTCCCCTTGGGCTTCCCACTGGGGTAACGGGGAACCTCCACGATCTCATTGTCGTTGTTGACAGTGTACTTGTTCCATACTGGAGCAAAAACATCCACGAGCTCCCTGAA